TGAGGGGCTAGAGTCAATAAAATAAGCTTTCAAATTTCAACTGGCATTTTTAAAGTTTAATTAATCTAATGATCTTTCACATGATTTAGCTTTTTGCAAAATGTACCAGCATTTTATTTGTCTCTAGGAAAATATGAAAAAGTGTCTAGTTTTAAAAAAACTGTGAGTTGATTGTATTTTTCATTTCTTTTGCAAACATTATATTCAAAACCTCTATGAATATAATGCTGCTGAATTCGAACCAGAAAATGAATCTGAACCTAAATCTGAACCCAATGCCAACTTCAGCTTCGTTATTATAGAAAATGACAGATTTCTTATACTATGCATTTAACCATTAGGTGGTACGTTGTATGAAAAGATTATGAATCAGAATGGCGAACTTTTTGCAGAAGAGGTAAGCGTGATGCTATGTTTCTAGTGGTTTGCTTGAGCTGTGCCTTGACACAGCTTTGAGAACCATACTCACTTCAGATCGGTCAATTTACAAGTATACATGGTATAAAAGTTGCATTGGTATGAAGATTATAGTGCTTCTTTATACGGCTGTTTAGTGTGTCAGTAAATTCATGCATTACTAATTGATTCATTGATTTTAGCTTAACCACCCAATACGTAGATCTTCTTGTGAATATACTTATTATTTAAATTGAAGTGATGTTCATGTTATGATTAGATGTCAAAGTCAAGTTGTTGATTGTACCACACATCAGATTCTGGAGACCTGGTTCTTAACTAATAAAACACATTTTCTGCGGAAAGCAAAGCTTGATATAATTTATTTGACTATGAAACAACAAAAGCATAACATTTTATTTTCAGCTTGTAATATGGTACTTATTTCAAATCGTGTCCGCTGTGATGCATATTCATGAATACGGAATTCTACATAGGTAAGTACACCTTTCACTTGTATGTACATTTGCAATGTGTGCATGAAATAAGGTCAACAGTTGTATTCATCTGTTGCCTGGCACTAAATAGTTTTTTTTAAAAGTCTGCTGCTACATTTATTTCACAATCTTCCCTATAGCCCTGGCAATTTACATGGGATTGTTAGGACACTCAGAAGTAAAAAAAGTTTAAAAATAGAATGCAGAATAAATTATGCACACCAAAGCTAAGAAGAAAATGGTTTTCTTGGAGAGGTCTTTACCAACTTTGTGTCAACATTTCATTAGCTATTCAGTAACTCCATTCATCGTTGAAATGACTCAGGACTGCATTTTTCTGCATTCATGCTTTTAACATGTTCAAATTTTTACATTGTTTTTATACATGTGTGATAATATAGTTGTGTGATAATCAATTTAAAACAGAAATGTTTGCTTTTAGTTCTTTGATTGGAGACTTCTTTGAAGGTTAATAAAATGTCACATGGTACGTTAAACAGCCTCAATAAGCTTTATGCTGAAAAATACATAAATTAACAATAAGTCAATATCATGAAAACTTTTATTATACCCGTTTACTTCCTTATATATATTTAAAGGTGAAGTTACTGTATTCCTCTGTCATTATTTGCATGTAACGTGTACGATGGTACATTTTTTTTTCTCTTCTTACAGGGATATAAAAACATTAAATATTTTTCTGACCAAATCGGGACTGGTAAAATTGGGTGATTTTGGCATCTCTAAAGTACTAGATAATAAAAGCCAAATGGCGGACACGGTAAGTGTGTTGTCAAATTATAGCTCAAATAAAAAAAAACATCAATTGATGATCCTTCACCACTTTATCATCCTATATCGATCCTTCTCCATTTGTTAACAAAACATATGAAGCAAATTGGCAATGTTATCTAACAAAAAAACATAAATTTCGGGAGAAAAAATCTAACTGTAAAAACTAAACTGAGGACTTATGAAAAATTCAAAGACTCTTATAATTTTGAAAAATACTTTGATGTGTTGAATTTGAAACAAAGAATTTCCAGGATCAAACTAGTAATCCTAATTTAGC